GGGGAAGAGCCCGGAAGGCTGACCCGCTGGCTGCCTCCGTGCTGCACCCTGCGCAGTGCCAGTGGTGCCTCACACCGGGAGAGCTCTCTGGTTTCCAGTAGCATTAGAGGAGCAGCACCCAGCGGGGAGCTGCATCCCTGCCTCGGGGCGGAGGACGAGTGCCCAGGAAAGGGACGGTGTAACGCCATGGTGGGGTCCAGCCCTCGGCAAGCACCCGGGGTAGCGTCGTTAGCAGAAGCGAGGGGGCTTAGGTATGCTCTGGGGGAAGGCAAGGCGCTGGCGTAGCGGGGGGCATACACTGGGATCTCTGGCTCCCTTTCAGAAAGGTGCTGGGATAACAGCCGGGTGCTGGGGGTGCGCATCCAGGCCAGCTCTGAGGCCACGCTGGGAGATGTGTGGTTCAGTTCAGCCCTCGTAACTGAGGGCTATGCATAAGCCGGTGTACGGGCCCGTCGTGGTGGCTCGTCTCTGCTGTACTGGAAAGCTCTGCTGATCAGGAGGACAGCAGCTAGGGTCCTAATGGCATGTCTGACGGAAGGTCTGATAACTGCGACGGCGAGCCGGGGGTGCCCTGAGCAGCGTTGGTTCAGCATGGCCAATGGGGGAACTGACGGGGGGGATGGCTCGCCCCTGAGCCTAGGGCTTCCAGGTTTGGTAAGAGACGTGCAGAATTAGGGTAGTCAAATCTCGAGGGAGAGGGAAGAGCTGGAAAAAGCAGCAAACCCCACTAATCTTCTGTCGATACCAACAAAGTATTTGGGATTCTGGATGTAAATCCAATACTTGGGCAAGGGGAATGGGAAAGGACTAAAATTCTGCTTCCGCTCAGATCTGTTTTGTATGACACAACTCATGCGTGTCAGGGGCTAAAAGCCTTCCTAAAATCTTGCTGATGTTGTGGTCTTTTTTCCACCGCAGATGTCCTACCCCCCCGTGAAGCGTCGCACGGCGTGGTCCGGGCAGCTCCAGTTGGTAGCAGAGCCCAAACCTTCAGCTCCTGTATCTCCCCCCCACCTCCCCTCGCTGCAGCGGCAGAATCCCCCCAGCTCTCCCGGCAGCTGGGCTCCCT